GCAACAGGAGGGGGAGGAGGGGGAGGAGGGGGAGGAGGAGGAGGAGGAGGAGGAGGAGGAGGAGGAGGAGGAGGAGGAGGATTCTTTGGATTTCATGATAACGGACGCTGTTCTGGGGGAGAGAACCTAGCCACTGGAGCCAGTCCCTCCTCGACAGGAGGGGGCCCCTGGGCCTGGCCAGGCCTGGAGGGAGCCGCGCGGCGACAGCCCGCTCCCGTCCGGGCCTCCTGAGGCCCAGCAGCCTGGCCAGAGCCGCGAACTGGGAAAACGACTGGCGGCGCTCTCAAGTCCACTGCTGCATTACAGGCTGCCTCCTCACGGGCGTCCGCCGCGGCCGCGCCGACTTGGCGCGCCGACCGTCTTCTGCAGCGCTTGGAGGGCGCTCTGGGCCTTGGCGTACTCCCACAGGGCCAGCTCGTCCTCCTTCCAAAGCACCGTCCTCGACGAGGAGTTTGGTCCTATGCTCGAGGTTGGACACGAGCTTCGTCAAGATAGGGTTCACGATGCCCTCCATATCTTTCTGCTTGCCCTCGAGCACGCCCTTCCCCACGGGCTGGGCCATGTCCAACCAGACGCGGGTGTGTTCGAAAGCCTTTTGGATCTTCTCCTTGTCACCGTCCTCGAATTTGTGTTTGCACTTTCCTTACAAAAGGGTGTTGCGTATGGTTGTGGAGGACGATCAATGGAGAGGAAACATGTTGCCAAATAATTTCCAGATGCCTAGAAAATGTGTTAAAACTGAATCTAATATGTAAACAAAATGTTTTAAACATGTTCCAGGACACTTACCGACATGTTAAATACATTTCTAATTCGATGATAGGACTGTTAGGGTGTCCACTGTCGGGGCATCCATAAGCGTATGGTGGAGCAGCAGTTGAGACGAGGCGGTGCACCGCCTCGGACCTCTCCTCGGATTGCTTCGCCAACGTATCGGCTTGCTTCTTCTCCACCTCGGCCATCTCCTCGGCGAGCCACAGCTTGCGCTCGGTCTCTGCCAGCTGCTCGCGCGCGGTGGGCAGCTCCTCGTTCCTCATACCAAGAGCCTCCACCTGCAGGCCGAGATCCTTTCTGACCTGACGTCCTCCTGATAGCGTCCAAATCGAGCATATTCTCGGCCAGCAGCTCGCGCATGTTGTTCTTTGGCTCGGGCGCGAACTTGGCGCCAGCCTTCTCCTTGGCATTATCTTGGAAACCTTCGAGGTGCGCCCGAACCTCCCTTCCGAGCCCCACGTCTGCATGGCGTCTCACATTGCGCAGTTTGCTCAGCCTCCCGACGCAGGAGGCGAATTTTGGTGCACCGGTTGCCCGCAGCACCTCCTTCGCGGACTGGACCGTGACCGGCGCCTGGAGCTGGCGTGCCCGGAGCACCCCATCGAGCACTTCCGCCAGCTGCGCGATCTCGCCCCCGCCTGTGCCACCGCCTGCCGCGCAAGCGCCCGCCCCCTGCGCGGCGCCGCGCGCCGCGGCCGCGGCCGCCGCAGCGAGGGCCTTCGTCCCCACCTGGCTCGCGAGCGCCGTCAGAGCCGCGCCGAACGCGGCCTGCGCCACGGGAAGCGACGCCAGCAGCTCGGGGGCTTCGGGCGACCCCATCGCGAGAAAGCACCGCCCGCGAAGGGCGGCTGGCCGATGCCAAGAGCCAAATGGCTACGGAGGAGGAGGACGACGACGACGAGAAGGAGGGGAACGGGGAGGGGGATAAGGACGAGGAGGAGGAGGAGGAGGAGGAGAAAGAGGAGAAAGAGGAGGAGGAGGAAGAGGAGGAGGAGGAGGAGGAGGAGGAGGAGGAGGAGCAGGAGGAGCAGGAGGAGCAGTAGGAGCAGGAGGAGCAGGAGGAGCAGGAGGAGGAGGAGGAGGAGGAGGAGGAGGAGGAGGAGGGGGAGGAGGAGAGGAGAAGGAGGAGGAGGAGGAGGAGGAGGAGGAGGAGGAGGGGGAGGAGGAGGAGGGGGAGGAGGAGGAGGAAGAGTGGAGAGGGGAGAGGGGCAAGCTAGGTGCGCTCGCGTCACATCTGGCATCCTGCAGTCAACCCGCGTAGTAACGATGAGCAGCTTTCCAAGATTTCCCTTGCATCCTTGCCCCTTCGGCCCATCCCTGGCAACTGTCGCCGGCCTGCTGCGCGGCTGGCAGCTGCGTCCCAAGTCGGTGCGGGGTCGGGGCCCCGAGTGGCGCCCGTGGTCGCTGGTCCTGGAGGCTCGTCTTGGGCCGTCGCCCTGGGAGCGTCTACCGCTTCCCCGAATGGGGTCGGGCGGCGGCAGCAGGCAAGCAGAGGGGGACTCAGAGTCTTGATGCCCTGGCTGGCCAGGAAGGCTGCCGGGTCGTTTGCGTCGTACCTGGACGGGTCGGTCCCGCGCAGGGCTGCGCGTGGCCCCGGGGAGGTCCCTCACGCCGCCTTCAGGTTGTCGGCTCTGCCGCCTTCGTTCTTCTTCTTCTCGCCCTCGGCGTGCGTGAGCCAGGCAACGACGCGGGCCAATGCGGCCCGTTTGCCGCCCAAGGGGAAGGCGCCGGGAACCCTGGCTCCGGGGATGGCACAGCTGTATATCTTGTCCAGGAAAGCAGTGCAGGTGCTGCGTTCCCAACAGGGGGCGCCAGTGTTTTTTCTTTTGTCCTTGGTTTTCGATCGAGTCGCTCCGCTCGTGGGCGAACCCGTGCCGCGCCCGCTCGATGCTTGGGCGCAGCTGTTTGGCGCGGTTCAGTTTTGCGCGCGCGACTGTCTTATCATGGTGGCCGGGTCTGCTGGGTCAATTTGGCCAGCCTGGGCTAGGGGGCCAAGGAGCGGCTTGCTACAGCGGTGGGCATCTGGGCGGCGCAAGGGGCTCCAGGTCCGGTAGCAGTGCAGCTGAGTTTGGCGGCGCCGGGGCCGGGTCAGCGCGCTGCGCGTTCTGGAGGGGCGGGGGCAGTTGGACCGGCCAGGTAACGCCGTCCTGCAGGAATCGGCAGCGCTGGA